GAATAACAGCCGATACTGATGCCAACATCAATATATCATGCATCCCTAGTATGGACACAACTTCAGCTCCAACCATCCATCCATGCATGGCTTACCCTTAAGCTGTATCAGTAATTATCCTCCTTCACAAGCAGCAACATCTAATTTAGAAATTTGTCCCATATGTCAACCAGCTTCACAGGCATCCCGGAAACACACAGCCAGACAGACAAGCTTCAAGCCAGCTCCCATGTCAGAGGATGAAGAGGGCCCATCCAGCCAGTAACAGTCAGAGAAACAGGCCGATCTCCAACATCTATAAACAAAGGTGTTGATGGCAGCACCACAGCTGATAGCCATCTCCAGGATGGAGTCACAGCCAAACAGGACAGATTAGTCGAAGCTATTATGAGAAAAGGCAGAAAGAGCATAACATTAGAGATTGAACTAAGGGATTCTGCAGAGTGGAAGAATAGAGATAGAATGAAGCAAAATGATGAAATTGGGGTCCCTATGTCCTCCAGCAGTCTAAGCCTATAGCAGCATAGCTATAGAGATAGCTATAACCTGAGCTAGAGATAGATAACCTGAGCCACTCTAACTACAAGCTTTATCAAAAAGGAAAGTTTTAAGCCTAGCCTTAAAAATAGACAGGGTGTCTGTCTCAGGAAGTAAAACTGGTTGGTGGTTCCACAGGAGAGGAGCCTGATAACTAAAAGATCTGCCTCCCATTTTCTACTTTTAGAAATTCTAGGAAGGACTAGTAAACCTGCAGATTGAGAGTGAAGTGCTCTGATGTAAGATGGAGCTTGGCCATTTAAGGCTTTATGTGTGAGAAGGAGGATTTTAAATTCTATTCTGGATTTAACTAGAAGCCAATGAAGAGAAGCCAGGATAGGAGAGATATGATCTCTCTTTTTAATTTTCAGCAGAACTTTGGCTGCACCATTTTGGATCAGCTGAAGGCTTTTAACTACAGCTTGTGGACTTCCTGATAGTAAAGAATTACGATAGTCCAGCCTTGAAGTAACAAATGCATGGACTAGTTTCTCAGCATCACTACATGACAGGATATTTCTAATTTTTTCAATATTCCGAAGATGAAAGAAGAAAATTCTAGAAACCTCTTTGATGTGCGATTTAAATGACAGGTCCTGATCAAAAATAACACCAAGATTTTTTTCTTTATTATCTGAAATCAGTTTAATCCCATCCAAATGAAGTGACTGACTAATCAGCTTCTTTTTCAGACTCTGGTCCAAAGTCTCTAACTTCTGTTTTGTCTGCATTCAGAAGCAGAGAGTTAAGAGTCATCCAGGTTTTTATGTCTTCAAGACATGCCTTTAATCTATGTAATGGGTTAGCTTCATCTGGATTTATAGACAGATATAGCTGGGTATCATCAGCATAACAGTGGAAATTAATCCCATGTTGTCTAATAACTCTACCGATTTGGAGCATATATAGAGTAAAGAGAATTGGTCCTAGCACTGATCCATGTGGTACTCCACAGGTAACCTTTGAGGAAGATTTAACATTAACGTGAAAAAAGTGAAACCGATCAGATATATAGGATTTAAACCAGTAACAGTGCTGTTACTTTAATTCCAACAAAATATTCAAGTATTTCTAAAAGAATATTATGATCAACTGTATCAAATGCAGCACTTAGATCTAATAGGACGAGCACAGATACAAGTCCATTATCTGTTTTCCTTTTCCATTGGAGGGAAGAGGCCATCCGATCACTAAATAATGCCCATAAATATAGTTAGAAAATGTTTTATTATGACTTTTCTGAGACAATTTTATACTTTTTACATTTTTTCCCATAAACTGCTTGTCTGATGCCACCTTTGGACATGCTCAGTCTGGCAAAATATGATTAAACCATGTTTATCTGCATTTTAGCTGTTTCTTTCTTTAGATTTACCATAATGTTAACACAAAAGGAAAACATAAAACTCAAAAAGACAAGATTTATGTTTAAATCCAAAGCCAGAAACAGCTCCCAGAAGTAGTATAAGATCCCATTGTCTGTACATATTGGGCACAGACGAGTGATAAAACAGACAGGATTTTAATGCATTTATTTTCTCAGGAACTACATTATTAAACTTTAACGCATTATAGTTTACTACGCGTACTATTTTTGGGAAGGGAAAAATGTAATATAGGTATCTTTTACAAAGTGAAATTGAGGGCGGCCTGGATGCATATCTGGTCGCACTTGCTTGCTCCTTGGTTTAATGCAGAGCTGCGTACTTTGAAGCAAAATGCTAGGAAACTGGAGAGAAAATATCGCTCCACAGGCCTGCGGGAGTCCTTCCTAGTCTGGAAAAATGGTTTACTGCTGTATAAGAGGACTCTTTGTAAAGCAAGAGCAGCATACTTCTCCTCATTAATAGAGGAGAATAAGAATAATCCTAGATTTCTTTTTAAAACAGTTGCCAAACTCACCCAGAGCCATAGCTCTGTTGAACCGTCCATTCCACCTGCTCTTAGCAGCAATGATTTTATGGGATTCTTTATAAATAAGATTGATCTTATTAAAAATAAGATCATAAGCACTCCTCTATCCGCGATTGTACCTGAGGTAGTCATGGAATCTGAACCGAGTTTAGACTGCTTTGATCCAGTTGAACTTTCTGAATGAGCAAAATTATTGTCTTCATCTAAGCCTTCAACTTGTATGTTAGATCCAGTTCCAACCAGGTTATTTAAGGAGGTATTCCCTTTGATCTCCTCCTCCATTTTAGATGTGATTAATCTATCTCTGTCACAGGGATATGTACCTAAAGCTTTTAAGGTTGCTGTAATTAAACCTCTGCCCAGATGACTTGGTTAATTATAGACCTATATCCAATCTTCCTTTCTTAAAAAGGAAGATTGTCTATAAATCCAGATGAAGCTAACCCATTACATAGATTTCAGGCATGTCTTGAAGACATAAAAACCTGGATGACTCTTAACTTTCTGCTTCTGAATGCAGACAAAACAGAAGTTATTGTCTTTGGACCAGAGTCTCTGAAAAAGAAGCTGATTAGTCAGTCACTTCATTTGGATGGGATTAAACTGATTTCAGATAATAAAGTAAAAAATCTTGGTGTTATTTTTGATCAGGACCTGTCATTTAAATCCCATATCAAAGAGGTTTCTAGAATTTCCTTCTTTCATCTGAGGAACATTACAAAAATTAGAAATCTCCTGTCCAGGGGTGATGCTGAGAAACTAGTCCATGCATTTGTTACTTCAAGGCTGGACTATTGTAATTCTTTACTATCAGGAAGTCCACAAACTGTAGTTAAAAGCCTTCAGCTGATCCAAAATGCTGCAGCCAGAGTTCTGATGAAAATTAAAAAGAGAGATCATATCTCTCCTATCCTGGCTTCTCTTCATTGGCTTCCTGTTAAATCAAGAATAGAATTTAAAATCCTCCTTCTCACATATAAAGCCTTAAATGGCCAAGCTCCATCTTATATCAGAGATCTGATTGTTCCTTATGTTCCTAACAGAGCACTTGGCTCTCAATCTGCAGGTTTACTAGTGGTTCCTAGAATTTCTAAAAGTAGAAAGGGAGGCAGATCTTTTAGTTCTCAGGCTCCTCTCCTGTGGAACCAACTACCAGTTTTAGTCCGTGAGGCAGAAACCCTGTCTACTTTTAAGGCTAGGCTTAAAACTTTCCTTTTTGATAAAGCTTATAGTTAGGGTGGCTCAGGTTATCCTGAGCTATCTCTATAGTTATGCTGCTATAGGCTTAGACTTCTGGAGGACATAGGGACCCCCATTTCATCATTCTGCTTCATTCTCTCTCTGTTCTCCTATTCTGCAGAATCTGTTAGTTCAATCTCTAACCTTCTGCTCTCTCTGCTTTTCCTCAGAGTAGCTTTGCCTCGTCTGTTCCTGTTTGGCTGTGACTTCATCCTGGAAAGAAACATCAGCTGTGCTGCTTCCATCAACACCCTTGTTTATAGATGTTGGAGATCGGCCTGTTTTCCAGTGTGGTCCTGTTTCTCTGACCGTGACTGAGTGGATGTGCTCTCTTCGTCCTCTGGCATGGGAGCTGGCTCGGAGCTCGTCTGCCTGGCTGTGTGTTTCCTGGACGGGCCGCCTTTTACAGCTGCTTTTTGTATCTCTGCTTCTGTCTCCTTGAACCCCAGTCGGCCTCGGCAGATGGACGCTCACACTGAGCCTGGTTCTGCTGGAGGTTTCTTCCTATTAAAAGGGAGTTTTTCCTCTCCACTGTCGCTACAAGCATGCTTAGTGTGAGGGATTGTATTTGAGTCAATGAGTCAATGCAATCAACTGGTTTTCCTTAGATAGAAAACTTTGTATCAGTTTGACTGTATGATCTGGTTGAACTGTAAAGTGCCTTGAGATGACATGTGTTGTGAATTTGGCGCTATATAAATAAACTGAATTGAATTGAAAATTGAATTGAACTTGCGCAAATCAGTTGATGGTACGGATAGGGTAGTGACAATGCGGCTGACAAATGCAGCCTTCTGTTTGCCTATTTTGAAGGACAGGTCCAGTGTAACTTATGTATCCTTTGATATCCCAGGATTCATTGCGAGTCCAAGCAAGCCGTTTGCTTCGTAATCAGAGGAAAAAGGTAAATGGCGATGAACAGGGGTGAATAATGTAAGTGCTGTTTAATATAATAGAAGTATGGGAATAGCTCCGCCTGAAATTAATAAAAAAATAGCTTTTTTTTTTTATTGTTATTGAGTCCGATATGTGGTGGAAAATGATAGGTTTATTGAAAGGTTTTATCTGTCCCTGTGCTAATGGGTTTGGCTGATATTTAAACACAGATTCTATTATGTGTTTATTCACGATGACGGTACAGCTGCTGAAGCTCCTGAAAAATGTTATAAGCACCCTAACAGTAGTGAGAAGTACTGCATTCTATCTTTGCCTGCTTTGTGTGTCAACTGTATTGGCTGTTAGGCAACAGAGCATATGGGCGCTGAATGTTAACACCCTCTGATCTTCCTCAATGCTACAAGTCTACTGTTATCTCCTCTGAGCTGGTTTAATCTCTCTGACCCTGAGTCTGGTTAAGACTAGCGAAATAACTCTTTTTTTCAACACCTGGTAAGAGAAGAACTTTATGCAATTATTTTCATTTTTATTACGGAAACTGCTTTGGTCGCAGTATTTTTCAATGGTAGAATAAAGGAAAAAGAAACTTCTATTAAAGATAGAACATACAGTGTCATACTGTATGTTTTCAGTCTCTTTATTGCTACATTTTCTATTTAACATAATTTTAGATGCTTGCTGTTTTTTGTTTCATTGTCAAACTGTGTACATTCTTTGGCTTTTCATTTTCAATCAGATCAGGAAACTGTCACTTTGTGTCTCAGGGTACTTAGTGGCAGTCTTTAAAATTATTCCTTATTTTGGTGTATTTCTTAAGTGATGAGGTCATAAACGATGCAGCTCAATGAGCAAAGACATAACAATTCATTTGAAAACTGTCTAAAAAAATAAGATCTAAAACTGTCTGAATACAAGAAAATACTGAATAAAGCCTAAAAATAATCCCAAAACATGAAGACTTTGACTGTGTGGAAAGGAAAATTCCTCCTAAAAAATTCAGGGGCTGAGCTTTCTGTTTTTCTGTTCCTAAACATTATCACTTATAGCTGTATCTCTCACCCTACAGCTCTAAAATAAAACATGGTAAGATTTGAAGGTGACCATCGGATCTCAGTGGAATATGAAGCACCCATATCCTCAGCCACGAATGATACTTTAATGAAGAATCCAGGTGAGAGCAAAATCCCAAAGTTTACCAGTTGAACAACCATGCACCCATCCATCCATTTTCTTACACACTTATCCCAAGTGGGGTCGCGAGGGGTGCTGGTGCCTATCTCCAGCTGTCTATGGGCGAGAGGCGGGGTAAACCCTGGACAGGTCGCTAGTCCATCGCAGGGCAATAAATGATTATGAAAAAAATTAACAATTATCTTAATCTCTTAATTTGAGCATTTTAGTTTTAGGCATTTTATGCTTTCCATCTCAAATAAAGAACATTAATATTCACAGTGCACCAGTGGTTAGCATTGCTGCCTTGCAGCGAGAAGTTTCTGGGTTCGATTCCTGGCCCCGGGTCTTTCTGCATGGAGTTTGCCAGTTCTCTCCATGCGTGTGTGGGCTCTCTCTGGGTCTAAAAACATGACTGTTAGGTTAATTGGCTTCTCTAAATTCTCTTTACAAACCATTCCTTGCTTGAATGGTTGTTGTTCCTGTTGGTCGTCTCCGTGTTGCCCTGCAATAGACTAGCGACATGTCCAGGGTGTACGGAGGATAGGATCTGTCCATCAGAATGGGCAAAAACAAGACTGCATTTGTCAGCCACATAACAAGGAGTCTTCCAATACAAACAGCCCTTGGTGCCATAGTATGTTGAATCTGGCCTTCAGAGGATGCAGCCACTGAATTCGAACTCAGCTACAGACATACATAAAAAAACAAAAAACTATTTTCTCACCCCTCGTGAGGTGGTATGTGTCATCCTCAAGGTCAGGTCCTCTACCAGAGGCCTGGGAGTTTCAGGGTTCTGCGCAGTATCTTAGCTGTTCCTAGGACTGCACTCATCTGGACAGAGACCTCTGATATTTTACCTGGAATCTGCTGTAGCCACTCTCCCAGTTTGGGGGTCACAGCCCCCAGTGCTCCAATTACCACTGGCACCACTGCCACATCTATCACTTCTGCCTTCTTCTGCTGTTTGTCGATCAACACAATGTCTGGTTGGTTAGCCATCACCTGTTTGTCAGTCTGGATCTTGAAGTCCCATAGGATCTTGGCTCGGTCATTCTCAACTACCTTAGGAGGTGTCTTCCATTTTGACCTTGGGACTTCCAGCCCATACTCATGGCAGATGTTCCTGTACACTATGACAGCTACTTGGTTGTGGTGTTCCATGTATGCACTTCCTGCCTGCATTTTACACCCTGCTGTTATGTGCTGTATTGTTTCAGAGGCATCTTGCACAGCCTGCATCGGGGGTCCTGCCTGGTGTGGTAGACCCCGGCCTCTATTGATCTTGTACTGAGTGCCTGTTCTTGTGCTGCCATGATTAGTGCCTCTGTGCTGTCCTTCAGTCCAGCCTTTTCCAGCCACTGGTAGGATTTTTTGATATCAGCCACTTCCTCTATTTGTCTGTGGTACACGCTGTACAGCGGCTGGTCCCTCCATGATGGTTCTCCTTCATCATTCTTGTCCTCACTTTCGGTTTTCTCCTGGCTGAGTAATTCACCAAGCCATTTGTCTTTGGGGGCCATCTTCCTAAATGTACTCCTGGATCTTAGTTGTTTCTTCCTGGACAGTGGTCTTGACACTCACTAGCCCTCGGCCTCCCTCGCTACACTTGGTATACAGTCCCTGGGCGCTGGATTTGGGGTGGAACCCTCCATGCATTGTGAGGAGCTTTCTCGTCTTGATGTCAGTAGCCTCTATCTCCTCTTTTGGTCAGTTTATTATACCAGCGGGGTATCTGATGACTGGCCGGGCATATGTGTTGATGGCTTGGATCTTGTTTTTCCCATTCAGCTGACTTTTCAGGACCTGCATTACTCTTTGTAGGTATTTGGCTGTGGCAGTCTTTCTTGCTATCTCCTCATGGTTGTCGTTAGCCTGTGGCACCCCAAGGTATTTGTAGCTGTCCTAAACATCTGTAATGTGGCCTTCTGGTAGTTCAACCCCCTCGGTTCAGATCATCTTCCCTCTCTTTGAGACCATGCGACCGCACTTGTCCAGTCCGAATGTCATTCCGATGTCGTTGCTGTAGATCCTGGTAGTGTGGATCAGTGAGTCGATGTCTTGCTCACTCCTGGCATACAGTTTGATGTCATCCATGTAGAGGAGGTGACTGATGATTGTTCTGCTTCGGAATTGTTATCCATAGCCAGTCTTTGTCATGATCTGGCTGAGGGGGTTCTGGCCTATGCAGAACAGCAGTGGGGATAGTGCATTGCCGTGGTATATGCCGCACTTGATGGTGACTTGTGCAATTGGTTTTGCATTGGCTTCCAGACTTGTTTTCCACAGCTTCATTGAGTTCTTGATAAAGGCTATTAGTGTCCTTTTGTTCTTGTACATTTCCAAGCATTCCAGTATCCATGTATGTATATATATATACAGTGTTGTGCCTGAACGCGTTCATTGAACGAAAGTTCATGAACTCGTTCATATTTTGGGCGAACGTGAACTGAACGAACTGTATTACTGCCTGATGAATGTTATTGTGAACTCCTTCATTCTGGTGTCTGTGAACGGCACGCTCTTTCAGTTCAACTTCGTTCAATAGGTTGCCAAATTTCTATAGAGCCCTCCAGGCGAAACCCCGGCTAAATCACACCGTAAACAAGCCTTAATATGTAGCGGGAAAAACACCCAATCTGGCAACACCAGCTACCAGTGTTGTAGCCTACAGCCGCGTGCGTCATCAAAACAAAATGCAGCGTGGAAGCCACAGCAGCATGGAGGCGACCATGGAGGCGACAAAACAGCAGTATGATCACTTAAAACAGTTTTATGACCAGGTGGTCGGTGAGGATGATGGCAACAATTTTTACATTTCTCTGCAAATTTTGTCCGCCGGCTTTCAGTAAAAAAATCTGCACTTCAGTAACCTTAAATTCCTACCTCAGCCTGGTCTCTCAGTTTGTGTTAGTAAAATGTTCTGGAGGGTTTTACTATTCATGTAACTTGTTTGTTAAACCTGCCTGGTATAATTTTCCAGGATTCCAGTATTCCTTTTTAGTATGTACTGAAATGGAATTTTAAATTGAAAAAATTATTAAAATTAAAAAACATTTGCACCTTAAAGACTACTTTCCTGTTTTTCTTTTAATAATTCCTCATAAAAAAGACCATTCAAGCAGCACATTTTTACTGATTTTTTTGAGAATATACTGTAGGGTTGAAAGCTGCAGCTGCTACTAGTGTGAAGTCAATGGACAGCAACAAAGCATTAAAGCAACAATGGGGAAATGCTCTCCCCTCAATGCTAATGTAAACCCTGGTTGGATAAGGATTCAAAACTGGATATGAAGATGAAATCTGACGCACAGTTTCAGTGTTACAACTGATAAAATAATTGCTGTCTGTGGTTCTACAGTAGGCTATGGTGTAATTGAGCAATATATGAAAAAAAAAAAAAGAACTATGAACTAGTTCATTTTTTGGAATTTTTAACTTAGTTCAAAATTTTGAATTATGAACTATGAACTGAACTAGTTCATTTTAAAATGTGTGAACTGAACTTTGAACTAGTTCACGTAGAAAGACAACTTTCCCAACACTGTATATATTTATATATATGTGTGTGTGGTTAGCATGAAGGTTACAAACCTTTTTCTGGTGAATGTAAGATAACCATCACTAGGCGGATAATTTCAACATGAATGTTGTGACAGCTAATGTATTTTGTGGTCACTCTAATATACCAGCCCTGTCAGGTCTACAAATGAGGAAGACAGAGTGTTCTCACAGTAAAACTTCATCTGCTAGTTTGGGTAACACTGACCAAAAGCTGGAGTTGTGAAAACAACCTAAAATTCAAAGTCATTCTCCATTTCAGACTCTAATAATTTCTTATTTTAACATAGAAATTAAAACATGGTTACATGTATTTATATTTTCTATCGCTGAGGCTGTTCACTGTTTTATTTCTCTGTTACATTTTTGCTGACAGGGAGAAACCATTTCAGGTGGATCCTTCTGAGTTTCGGACTTCTCTGCATACTTCAAGTTACTCTCAACATTTCTCTGCGTCTGACATTTTGTAAGTTACTTAAATCTGTCTTCATTTCATCCTTCTTATAAATCCATAAAAACATAATTCCAAACTTTAAACAAAAACTAGTCTAAGACAACCCTATTTGTTCAGTTTTAACTTTGATCTACAGCAGAACCACTTTCCTTCCATCCTGATTTTATAAAACCCCAGGAACCAGCAGGGGTGACTGTGGAATCTGTAGACAGAGTATTTGTTTTCCAATCAGAAAGTTGTGGGTTTGATTCCAGCTTTCCTCCACCCATTTGCTGATGTTTTCTTGGCAGGACAACAAAATCAAGTTGCTGACTGATCAGCATTTTGCTGTATGAATATGTGAATAAGAAAAAATATAATGGATCACGCTACTAGTATGTATCGGGTAGTGACAGATACATACATATTAATAAATAGATGCCTCATTGGATGCTACCATCAGGGAGGTCGACGTGCCCATAGGGCGGCCATTATGGGTGAGAACATATCTCAGACAGCTACTGTCAAAATGAATAGGAGGCACCTCAGATCTCATTTTAATCACATTTGAGACAAGTTAAAGGCAATTTCACAATATTCTCTCACATGACAAAACCCATTTAAAGGCCGAATCAAATTTTAAAAGGTCCTTTCATTTAGATTACACACATTTATTCAAAACAATTTAAATATAAGTCAAAATTGAAGAGACATGATGCCTACATGCAGTTATAATTTTTTAGATTAAATATTAATATGATAACACATTAAAGACATTAATATATTATATAAATATATATTTATTTAGTATATTAGTATTATTATTTTCTATTATTAATGATTTTACTGTGATAATGACTAATAGTGGAAACATTTTTGTACTAAGAATTTACAAAAGAGAGTAAAAATATTGTTGGGTATTTTTATTCATTTTAATATTAATTTTTATTTAGTTCGTTTTTGTCTAGAAGTTGTTCAAATAACATTGAATGGTAAATTCATGTTATGTCTGACTAAAGGGTTTTTGAACTTATAAGTTTGCACTTCTCCCAAAACTTTTTTTCAAAGTACACATTGTTTTTATTATAATATATACACATACAAAGAAATATATATTTATATATTATATAATGTGTATTTTTAGTTAAATATACATGTATACTAATACAGTTATATATCATTTATATAATTGTTATGACTTTTTAGATTTAATATGTATTTTTATAAATCCTCATTCACACCTTTTAGAAATCAGGATGTTTTAAATACTTTTCTCTGCTTCCGTTCCTGCTATCCATTAGCACCTCTTGTTTTGAAAAAAACAGTAACGGTGAAGCATGAGGATAATTTGTCATAAAATCATATTTATGAAAGAATGAAATCCCACTGGATCTGATTTGTAGTCACCCTTTATTCGTGAACCCATAGGTTCACCAATAAAGTGTGACTGCGCACAGTCAGGGCACAGAAACAGGTCAGGGATCCAGGCAGCACAAAAAAACAGATCCAACAGGGGCTAGGCAGGCTCAAAAACCAGGAGGCAGAAACAGGTCAGGATCAGAAAAACAGACAGAGAAAAATGCTGGATGCTTACTAACCAAGGCTTTCAGGCAACCTGGCACTGTCAACTAGTCAGAGGCCTGCTTAAGAAGGCTGGCAAACAGGTGAGAGGAATCAGTGGTAATTAGGCTGAGCAGCAGCACAGGAGGACCAAAAGAACAGTCAGAGCCGAAGGGAGAGGGGAATGAAATCACAAACACTAGTTGACAGGCCAGAAACATAACACATGCTGCTTCATTTTTTATGCTTGTACAAGTTAAGTTCTGATGCGCAGCTGCAGCTTCTTTGCTGCTCTTGTTGCGCGATCAAAAAGTCGGTCTGATGTGTGTTCGGCAGAGCTACCCTATCCTTTCTTTGCTTTAACAATGGCGGGTGAAATTGAGAGAGTCTCTTGGCTTATTTAAATAATAATGCTACATTCAAACTGCAAGGGTTGAAAGGCCAAGGGCTGGAAGGCCAATAACCTCCCTCTCCACAATGTGGAAGCTCATGTCCAGGATCATAGTGGCTAAGATAAGCGGGTACACGGATTAATACATGAGCACAGCTCAGAAGGGAATTGGTAAAAAATACCAGAGGTGCCAAACATCAGCCCCTGGTAGACAGACCAGTCACTTGAGACTGCAGAACCCAAAACACTAACCTGAGAACTGCCTGGATTGATTACAAAAAAGCCTACAACTCAAAAATAAATACTTGGATCATTGAATGCTCAGCACTATACAACATCAACAGGATTCTAAGAGCCTTCATTGCAAACTCAATGAGGTTGTGGAAAACCACCCTTGAGGCCAATGGCAAGACACTTGCACAAGTCTCCATCAAATGTGGCATATAACAAGGAGATGCGCTGTCCCCACTGCTGTTTTGCATAGGTCTGAACCCCCTCAGCCAAATAATAACAAGACTGGCTACGGATAGCGGCTCAGGGACAAGGCCGCCATCAGTCTCTACATGGAGGAAATCAAGCTGTATGGTAAGACTGAGCGAGACATTGACTTACTGACCCATACCACCCATATCTACAGCACAAACAAAGGGATGTCATTTGGACAGGCGAAATGTGGTCGGACAGTGACTAAGAGAGGGAAGGTAGTCCACACAGAGGGGCCTCAATCCAAGAAGGAGCAATAGCAGACATTGAAGACAGTTACAAGTACCTCAGAATCCCACAAGTAAATGGCAATCTCAAAGGGGTGACAGGGAAAGCGACTATGGCCAAATACGTCCAACAAGTAAGGCAGGTCCTAAAAGCTAGCTGTCATGATGGGTTCACTAAAAGCGACCCAAGAATGCAGAACACCACTGACGGACACAGGGATGAAAGTTTAACAGTTTATTGATGCACAAGCACACAGAATATACTGGTTCAGGTTCGGGGCCTGGATACTGGTTCACCGGAGTCTGCGTGAGAGACAGTTCAGTTAGCGTTGCCAACAGAGGTTTGATTTCCTGAAGTTTACTGATTGTACCTTGAGGGTTCTTGAGGTTAGCTTTGGGAGAGTCTCTGTTGGTTCTGGAGAATAGTTCATCAGTAGAGTCCGTTTGCTGCTTCAGCGTCTCACGTCTTATATAAACAGACCTTGGCTTAGGGTTTCCCAGCTCTAGTCCAGAGCTGCTTGGAGGTTCTCTGTGATTCTTCGGGTTTGGCTCTGAGGGTCGGCTCGGCAGGTTAGCTCTTCCTGAGCTTTCACAGAGGAGGCACAGGTTTCCTGGAAAACAGAAACAAGGGTTAGAATCCAAGCTGGATTCAAAAGTCATCGAGTTACTCTGAGGATCTAGGCTTAAGCGCTGACCAACTGGAACAACACTGCGGCGTTGAGGCAAGGTCTGAAGACAGCTTAAGTAGTGGATCCTCTGATGATCTTGACGAGCTGCAGCTGTGCAGGAGGCTCCCTCAGAAGATCCACGGCGGACTCTGCTGGAGAAAGGTGGAATTTCTCCAGCTCCCAACAGTACCCCCCCCCTCAACGACCGCCCCTTGGCGGTCCGGAAGAGGTTGATGGGCAGGAACGCTCGTACTCCTCGATAAGGGCAGGATCGAGGATGTACGAGCCTGGAACCCACTGGCGATACTCCGGTCCGTAGCCCTCCCAGTCGACGAGGTACTGCCATCCGTGACCTCGTCGACGGGAGTCCACAATGCGACGGACAGTGAAGGCCGGATGACCATTGACCTCCAGGGCGGGTGGTAGGGAGTCGGACGGTGGGCACAGAGGGCTCGAGGAGACAGGCTTGATTTGAGACACGTGGAAGGTAGGGTGGATTCGGAGGGACTGAGGTAGTTGGAGACGGACGGCTGAGGGGTTGATGACTCGAGTGATCTTGTAGGGTCCGATGAATCTAGGAGAGAGTTTGAGACATCCCCTTGAGGGGAATGTCTCGAGTGGACAGCCATACCTCCTGGCCTTCAATGTACTCGGGGGCGGGACGTCTCCTGGCGTCGGCGAAGCGTTTTATGGACTCTGATGACTGGTTGAGGGTGGCGATGGTTTCCCTCCAGATTCTTTGGCAACGGCGGATGTGTTGGTTTACGGACTGAACCGAAATCTCTCTCTCGTCTGCGGGAAAAAGAGGTGGTTGATAGCCGAGACTAACCTGAAATGGAGATTGTCCAGTGGATGCAGATCTGAGGGAGTTATGTGCGTATTCTATCCACGGGAGAAATTGGCTCCAGTCCACGGGGTTGTTAGAAGTGAGGCAGCGAAGGGTGGATTCCAACTGCTGATTCATTCTCTCAGTCTGTCCATTCGATTGGGGGTGGTAACCAGAGGTGAGAGAGGGTTTGCAGCCGAGAGCAGAACAGAAAGCCTTCCAGACCTGGGAGATGAACTGAGGACCTCTGTCCGAGAGGATCTCTTGGGGAATGCCGTGTAACCGGAAAACATGCTTGATGAGAAGCTGGGCTGTCTGGAAGGCCGTGGGAAGTTTTCTGAGGGGAATAAGATGGCAGGACTTCGAGAAACGGTCAACAATGGTGAATATGGTGGACATACCTTGAGAGATTGGGAGACCGGTGACGAAATCAATGGCGATATGGGACCAAGGACGCGAGGGAACAGGAAGCGGTTGAAGCAGGCCAGAAGGAGGTTGGTGTGAGGCTTTGTTACGGGCACATGTGGGGCAAGCCAACACATACTCCTTAACGTCCCTGTGGAGAGTGGGCCACCAGAAGCGTCTGGAGATGAGAGCTACAGTTCTACTGACTCCTGGATGAGCAGAGAATTTGGCGGCATGCATCCACTGGATGAGACGGGACCTGACGGAAGATGGAACATAGGTTCGGTTAGTGGGGCCGTTACCTGGATCGGGTTCAGTGGCCAGGGCTGAGTTGATGAGATCAGTTATTTCCCAGTTGACCACTCCCACTGTGCAGGAAGCCGGAAGAACAGGTTCAGGTGTCTCGGGATGATCGACGGAGTAGAGACGAGAGAGCGAATCGGGTTTTACGTTCTTGGATCCGGGTCTGTAGG